TTGATCAGGGAGTGTGGTGACAGGACGAGAGATAATGGTTTCAAATGGAAAGAGGGGAGACTTAGATTAGATATTAGGAAGAAATTCTTCCCTGTGAGGATGGTGAGGCACTGGCACAGGTTGCCCGAAGAAGCTGTGGCTGGTCCCCCCCTCGCCGTGTCTACCCTGTGTGTTCAAAACCAAAACAAGCAAGTATTTCTAGTGGAAGGTGTCCCTGCCCATGGCAGGGGGTTGGAACTAGAAGATCTTTAAGGTCCCTTCCAACCCAAAGCATTCCTGATTCTGTGTTTCAATATGGAGATTTCCTGGTCTATGAATTGTGAGGGCAATGAACTGACCTGAAAGTGTGTAGAAATGGGGTAAATAAGAAGGCACTTGAGATAGTGAAACAGGAAATACTCCAATTGAGAACTTCTATTTATTTTTTTCCTCATCAAAATAAAGAAATAATTGACAAGATGAAAAGACAACAATCGCCATTCTGTTACAATCCCCCGAATCCAATATTATTTCTATATTTTTCTCATAAGATGTCAAAGCCAACATCTTGCTCCTTTTCTGAAGTCAGCTGTTGATGAGAACATTGAGCTTTATTACCCACTTTTTAAAGTTCAAAAGAATATGAATTAATATCCCAGAGGGGAGGAGAAATCAGTAGGCTTTGTGTGTTTTTTGGAGTCATCTTTTGTTGATTAAAAATAAGTTTCCTTTAGCCAGTGTCCTGTTTCTGTCAGAATAAGTAATATCTTAGCAGATTGATTAGAGACAAGCTTTTAGGTAACAAATGATATTGGTTGCTTTAACAAGATATTATTAGATCTTGCTTTGCTTAAATCTTTGGCTTATTACTGCTACAGAGGTACTACAGCTAAAATTTGTTTAATTGATAAGGGATCTCCAAGGGAGGAGGAATAATTTAAGGGAGTTGTTTGTATGCTTTAACTGTATTGTTTTGCACTTGCAAATGTTTGATTTTATTTAATCTAATACTGCTGATTTTACTAGTGCTTCTGTTCATGCAGAATAAATACTTTCTTTGATAATATTTGATAATTGCAGAATAAGTGTGTCTTGATTTAGAGGAATGCTAGCCCTTTGAAATGTTGATAGTGTGATTAGTGTTCCCAATTAAATCCTGAGTCTGAAACTTAAGGTTGGGTCATAAATATTTTCTTTAAAACTGTGATGCCAAGTTTGTTAAATATTTCTGTTCTTTTAAACTAGCATTGATGATGCACTTCAGGTTAAGATTACAGACAATGCGCTGTCTCGAGACCTATTTCCTATGGACTACCATTGCCTGGGAGATAATGAAAACAGACCAGTTCGATGGATGGCTCTTGAAAGCCTGGTTAACAATGATTTTTCCAGTGCTAGTGATGTGGTAAGTTTGAGTTTATTTTTTTCCATCTTAGATTTTGTAAATGTATTTTGTTGACATTTTTTCCTTTTTTCAGCCGTTTGAGAATCATGGCACCGAATAGGTAACAGTGATTTGTCCAGAACACCATCTATACCCCTGCTTTCTTCACTTGCTGCTCATGGCAGATGGTTTAAAGGTCAAGCAGGCCCTTCTTGCATGTCAAAATTGTTTGTTGCACGCTGTTTTCCTCGGTAGCATTAGCAGAAAAGGCAATTAAATTCAGTGAGCAATCTGTACTGGGACTTGTTTGCTATTTGAGTGAACATGACCCAGAGTCCACAACAGAGTATTTCAATTGCAGTCTCACAGATAGAGAAAAGAGGAGAAGAATTGCTTCCCGTGACCTGCTGCCTACAGTTCTGCTAACGCAGCGCAGAATGCAGCTGGCTGCTTTTGCTTCAGGGGTGTGCTGCTGAGACATTCAGCTTGGTCACCAGGACCCCCAGGTTCTTTTCTGCAAAGCCACCTTCTAGGCTGTCAGACCCAGCCAGTCCTGGTGCATGGAGGTATTCCCTCCCAGATGCGGGATTCTTCCATTTGCTTTCCTTGAACTTTGAGGTTCCTGTCAGCCCATTTCTCCATCTTCTTGAGGTGCTTTGCAGAACTCTGTCCTCCAGCCTGTCAGCCCCTCTGCCTGGATTGGTATCATCCATTAACTTCCTGAGAGTCCAGGTTGTTAATGAAGGTAACAGTATTGATTCCTGAGCAGTGCCACTAGTAACCAGCTGCTAGTTGGACTACTAACTGCTGGTAACAGTGATTTGAATCCAGCAGTCCAGCCACTTAAATGTCAACACCTCACTAATTTGGTATAAGGATGGTGTGGAAGATGATGTCAAAGGCCTTGCTGAAGTAAAGTTGAACATCCGTTACTTGCTGCATCCACTAACACTGTCAGCGAAGAACTAGTCAGGTTGGTCAGGCACAGTTTGCCCTCGATAAAGCCATGCTGGCTGTTTCATGCATATGAAAACACAGAGGTGTCTAGGAAGTGACTTCCAGGATCACATGCTTCCCAACATTAGCAGGAGCTGAGGTTAGACTGCCTGGCCCATAGTTCCCTGCATCCCACCTCTTCAAGGGGGTTCCTTTTTTCCAGTTGTCAGCAACCTCCCCCAGTTGCGGTGGCCTTGCAAAGATGATGAGAGCAGTGTTGCAATGACTTCAACCCGCTTCCTCAGCACTCTTGGGTGCATCGTGTCTGGTACAGTGGTCTAGTGTGTACGCACTTGCATTCAGTGCAGCCTCAATGTTTTTCTCTAAGGGGATTTCTTGGTAGTTTAACTCTGCTGAGCTTTGGATTTCCAAACTCCATCCTGCATGTGGATGCATTCTCACTGTATTCGTCAAGTAGCCTTCTCCTGCTTCCACCCTCTCTTTCCGTCCTTAGTGGCTGAGCTTAGTCAGTGGATCCGTGATGGCCTACTATGCTTGCTCAGCTTCCTGCACACCAGAACGGACTGTTCTTGTGCTTACAGGAGCTTGTCATGAAGATCAACCTGTGGTAATTAGAGTGATAATTAATGGTAAACCACTTGACCTTACGATCTGTGTCTTCCTGCTAAAGGGGTATTTTCTTTGTTAATGATGCTTTCCTTAACTCAGCTACATCCAGAGATTGTAATCCGTGTCTTAAAACATGCTAGAAAACTTTTTCAAAAGTTCTGTTTGGTTTTTTTCTCCTCATTGCCATCGTCTCACTACTAGTGCTCAAGCTGCATAAACAAACAAAAAAAAGGTAGGGAAGGAGTCAGCTCTGCTCCAGAACTCACTGTACTCACAGGAAAATGTGTGGGATTTTGTGTTATATCAAACTCGTAGACAGAACAGGAAATAGAATTTGCCTGTAAAAGCACGGGTTTATGCTATTAAATGTGATCACAGAATCATGGAATGGTTTGGGTTGGAAGGGACCTTAAAGATCCTCTAGTTCCAACCCCCTGCCATGGGCAGGGACGGACACCTCCCACCAGACCAGGTTGCTCCCAGCCCCATCCAGCCTGGCCTTGAGCACTGCCAGGGAGGGGGCAGCCACAGCTTCCCTGGGCAGCCTGTGCCAGGGCCTCATCCCCCTCACAGGGAAGAATTTCTTCCTAATATCTAATCTAAATCTCCCCTCTTTCTGTTTGAAACCGTTACCTCTCATCCTGTCACCACACTCCCTGATCACGAGTCCCTCCCCACCTTTCCTGCAGGCCCCCTTCAAGCACTGGAAGGGCGCTGAAAGGTCTCCCCGGAGCCTTCTCTTCTCCAGGCTGAACAACCCCAGCTCTCTCAGCCTGCCCTCACAGGGGAGGTGCTCCAGCCCCCTGAGCATCTTTGTGACCCTCCTCTGGACCCGCTATAGCAGGTCCATGTCTTTTTTGTGCTGGGGCCCCAGAGCTGGACGCAGCCCTGCAGGTAGGGTGTCACCAGAGCATAACAGAGGGGCAGAATCACTTCCAGTCAATCATCACCAGTCAATTAAATGTTGTTTTCTTTTTCTTTTTCTTTTTTTTTTTTTTAATCTGGAACACAAAGGCGTTCACTATTCATGAAGACTGGACTTGGAAATAAAAGCTTATGTATCACTGGCAGTGAAATGTAGAATTTTACTAGGATGGAGGCACCTTTCAGAAAACTCAAGTGCAATTCAGCATATATTCCACAGAACTCCTTTTTGCCTTATATAGGGATAAATGCAGTTCAGCTTCTAATACGTCGTTCTTAACTTCACATACGTAACTATCTGAGCTTTGCAGTGTGGAAAAATGGACAGTTTTGGTATCGCGGTGTAGAAAACACTGTTTGCCCTAAATATCATCTTTGCTTTTACCTGGGCACTTTTCACAAATATGGTGTAACATATTTGTGTGCTTGCTTGAAACAAATCTAGTTATCAATAGCATGTAACTTATAATCCGTGATGAAATCTGTTACAAACAATTTAGGTGTGTCTGTTAAGATGCAGTTGGCATGTGTTCCAGGCTTGCTTTTTGGATGCGTTTCTCTAAAAGGGTTTTGCTGGCTTGAAACATTCCTAAAGTGTTCCTCCTCTGCCAACAGTTCTATCAGTCATCCAAAGCGTAGAAAAACAAAACACAGTTCCTGTTGAATTTTAATTCTGTGGCTTTTCCCTCTTTTGGACATGAAGCTCTGCAACTCTTTATGCCATGTTTATGCAGCTACTTACAGAATTAGTAACAGCTATATTCTCAAAGCAGTTTTGCTTGAATTGCCCTTTATTCTCACATTCTAGGTGTACCACCACTTGTCACTTGGCATTTTTCTTCACTGCAAATAAAAAGATGTCCTCCCCTGACTTCCCCCACTGCTGATAGATGGCTGTTCAGCTCAGACCTGCGTCTGTGCCCCTGCCAGTCTCAAGCTCTGAGCTTCCCTTCAGTGTCCACTGACAGCATCCCTTAGTTAAGGCTTTGGTCGAGGGCAGGCACAGGATTTCTTTTCATTAAAACCAGAAATTATTTGAGGCTTGCAGAATTCTACCCCTCTTTAATAAATCATGGTGTTCGTGGCACTTGTCACTTCAGTGGTGACTCATCAGTGTGCAGTATCAGCACCATCTATGTTTTGTCTCTTTATACCAGCTAGTAAATCATTTTACTTGTGCTGTGCTTGCACATGAATTGATCGATTTTTTTTTTTTTAATTTTTTTTTTCATCGCCTTTAGCTCCTTTTGGCAAGTATTGTTGGGTGAATATGTTGAATGCTGATCCAGCTGTCAGGTTTACAGAGATGAAATCTTTATTTTTCTCATGAGTCCTATTTCTGAGTGGATACTCAAAATATACGGATGACTTTGATTTAAAAAAAAAATGGTGGTTTCATTCAGTCTGCTCTTCTGAACTTTTGAATTTCATAGACCTTTTTGAAGGAATCTTATGTAGTATTTTGAAGAGGTAAAATGTAATATAAAATATACTTTTTTCAAAAGGGTGGTTTAATATTAATATTCCTTGATTTGTTAAGTATTTTGAAATGTCATGCTGGAAAAATGAAGTAACTACATGACTTTTTTTAGCACTTAAATCTTAGATTTTAATTTTAGTTCAACTTAACACCTTTTTTGTGATCCTTACTTTGTCTTGAATGGGGACAATTGTTGTCACGTTAAACTTGGATATACATAGCGTTTATGTAAAGCTTTCTTACTCAGTGTAGTCTTATTTATGACTGATTTTGTGGAACATCTGAAGGACCTCTCAAAATTCAGAATATTTTGATAATGCTGTACGCTATTTCTTTTTAGTGGGCCTTTGGAGTAACGCTGTGGGAGCTGATGACCTTAGGACAGACTCCGTATGTCGATATCGACCCCTTTGAGATGGCTGCTTATTTAAAGGACGGTTATCGAATAGCTCAGCCAATTAACTGCCCTGATGAACTGTAAGTGCATGTTTTTGGAGAGAGAATAAAATGTCTATTTTGTAACCAGTGCATTAAGCCAGCCTTATCAATGAAAGAGCTGGGTTTGCCTTCCCCTGCCTGTTTATTCTGCCTTTCGGACAAACCCTCATGTAAGTGTTTGTGTGGCTTCAGTGACCTACGTCAAGGAACTCATGATAAAATTAAATGCTTTTTGTTGTTGTTGTTGAGTTTAACTTAATCCTGACCCAACTCTCTTCCTTATTCTGACACAAGGGAGAAATGAGGTTGATCAGTAGGATGGGAGGCAAAGGGGCCCAGGGGTTTTCAGTGTAGTATTTGTGGGGCTGCAGCGCAGGAAGCAACTAGGTTTGTAGGTAGAGGGAATCTCTGTTCTCTTAGTAAGACTACAGAGAAGTACTGCGTATAGTGGAGTTAAACACCAGTGCTTGAGGTGTTTATTTGTGATCCTGACGGCACCGGAGAATGCAAGCGCACAGGCACTACCTTCTGCCTTGCATGTTCTTCCAAATCTTCCCTTCCCTTAAACCTACTGTAGAAGTGCTTTGAACTAAGCTTTTACAATAGTTGAGCAATTTTGAATGAACTACGTATTGCTTCCTCCTGGATTGCCTCCGACTCGTATCCTAAATCAAAGCAACGCTTCCAATCACAGCACATTTATTGGGCATTCCAGG